ACTTTCCCCTTCACACTTCCGTTTTAATTTGTTTGTTATATTATTTGCAATAATGTTCGATCATATACCGGTATGTCAAATTAGACAAATGCATGTGTTTGCTGAGGTCCACCATTATTGAATCAGAAAATCCTGATGTTATACTAAGCATGTGATTGGCTATAAGTTCCGTGGATTTTAAATACAGAATCTTTCGTTAATTGTCTTCAATAAATAAAGGGAAGTAGCACCAAACTTGAGTATGGCGATGTTTTTATGGAACCATTTTCATATTTTTTCTGATTTAAATCAACAAAATCATGGAACGCTAAGAAAAGGTGGCCTTTATAAAAAAAACTGAATGTTACTATGAATTTTTAAACGCATCTAGTGTATTAGCGTCTGTTAATTTGGACCCTTGATGAACAAGTTTTGATATATATTTTGACCCTCATTATATTGAAGTATTTTGTGATAAATCAACAAACCAATCTCTACAACAGTCTACTACCATATATAGTATGATTCTGACTATATACTTGGTGTGCAGAAAACCACTTACTCTTAAATGTCGAAAAAAACAAAAGAACTGATAATTGACTTTCAGAGTAAACCCACAGAAATGCTTCCAGTGATAATCAACGGTGAATGTGTTGAGACAGTGTCGGAGTATAAGTACTAGTATCTGGGAACCTTCATTGACTCTAAGCTGAACTTGAACTCTAACACTGAAGCCCTATACAAAAAGTGTCAACAACGTCTTCATCTCATGGGTAAACTGAGATCTTTTAATGTTAACCCATCTGTGATGTCATCTTTTTATGTAGCATTTATTCAGAGTATTTTAACATTTTCCATCCATTGTTGGTACGGGTCTCTCTCAGTTCATCTCAAATCTAAAATAGACAAAATTGTTAACACTGCAAGTAAAATGGCTGGAGTCAGATTTGAATGTTTATCATCAATATATGAGCGGCAAATCGTGAATCAAGCTGTCAAAATCATATCTGACCGTACTCACTACTTAAACTCGGAATACAACCTCCTCCCTTCAGGCCGCCGCTACAAAGTTCCAATTGTAAAAAATAAGAGAGCCCGTACATCCTTTATTCCAAGTACCACATCTCTCTTAAACAAATGTGAACATACCTAAATCAAAGAATTTATGTAAATATGTTTGGTATCTCTCTAATGTGTCAGTAGCTCTGCTGATGTAACACAAATTCCTGAAAAGGCATTAAAGTATAATTCTATTCTATTCTATTCTATTCTATTCTATTCTATTCTATTCTATTCTATTCTATTCTATTCTATTCTATTCTATTCTATTCTATTCTATTCTATTCTATATCTATATGAAAAAGTGTTGATACAAGGCTTTCATGAAAAGGTGAGCACATCCTGCTGCTTCCCATTCACAAACACATGCACAGCCAACTCATTTGTTCAACTGAAATATACCCACATAGGAACATATGACACATGTCGAAGTAGAATTCTTCGGATGTCAGTATTTTGAAATGTCCTCCACATGTCTACTGTAAAGCTTCTTGACATATTACGAAGGTCTTGACTAAGATTTTAAATGTTGAACTTTGCTCAGGCTATAAGTATTGTGATGCAATTTGGTGCAGTAGTCAAGTGACCCTTACCTTAGAGTGCATGTAGAGTTATCTGTAGGACATTATCAGTGATGTGGAGAGACAATATATGTATCACAATAGAGATGCTATCTCACCACCAGCAAAGTGTAATAGCATGATTTGACAAATCTTTCAGAGTGAAGGGCAAACTCCCCTTGCATCACACGTGTCCATGTTGACAGTGCTTTTCTCATAATATAATCAGACTTCAGTGTCAGGCTTATTACTACTGAGATCACTGTTTGAGTGGAAAACAACCTGCCACGTCTTATGTGCTGAATATGGAATGAAGGACTGTGTTCTGTAGGACCATTTCTTCCTGTGGTACATCTACATAGGAGTTGCAGCGACATCAGAAGATGGCTGATGCAGAGCTTTCATATTATTTATCACAGAATCTGTGCAGTTGCCTTCTGGTTTAAATTTAAAATTGAAATTTGAAAGCAAATGAAATTATGTGTGTTGTATTATATGCCCTATACTGAAGGTAGATGGACGTTTTTAGGGCTGAACTCTTGCAAAGCACATACAATGTTGACTGCCCTCATAGGTGCACATAGCTTACGTGATAAGTGTGATATCTCTATGACAAGGATCAACAAAGTATTTTGTTGAAATGCAGTGGCCAAACAAGAAGACATTTGGATTATTGTCAGCATTAACAGTTCTCTGAAGGGGAGCCTTTTCACTGGAACGCTCATCCTAGTGTTTAGGACGTTCTGAGTATGGAAGTGTCATCACTTATGCTTCAGAATACCAGAGCAGGGAATCGCTCTACGAGTTCACGTCCTCGTTTCTGTGTTCAGTTGACTATGAATGCACTCATAGTGTTAATAGGTAAGGGGAAGTTTGCGAGATTAATGAACAACGCTTGTTTTACGCCACATCATTGTCTGAATGTTTCCACATTGAACTATGGTCACTTTGTTCTTGTGTGTCAAGTTCAGGCACAACGCTGTCTTGGGTCTGGGTTAAAGTATTGACACTACTCTGGAGTTGATTAGCCATAGCAGGTCGGAGTGAGTGAGTGAGTTAATATTTATCGTCACATCGGCAATATTTCAGCAATATCGTGATGAGAACATTTTTTAATTTTATTAAAGATGAATAAAGTTAGAAATTGAAAAACCTGTTGACGAAGAACAGTAAAACTACTAGTGTATCACAGATATCCATTTAAAACTAGCAATTAAATTTTAAATATTGGAACAATAAATGACAGCAGGTCGGAGAGAAGTTGTAGGCATTGTGTTGTCATATAATAAGGTCATAGGGCTTAATCTTACCTTCATGTTGAATAGGGGCCGTGGGGTAGCCTAGTGGTTAAAGCGTTCGCTCATGCTGAAGACCCTGGTTTGATTCCCCACATGGGTACAATGTGTGAATTTCTGAGTCCCCCGCCGTCATAATGCTGGAATATTGCTTAAAGTGGCGTAAAACCATACTCACTCACTCATGTAAAATACTTTAATTTCATTGGTCAATGATGTTTTAACAAGTTTCCAGTTTCCGGAAAAAATATTACACGCTACCACTGTAACTGCCAAACTGAGTTCACTCTGTACATATCTATTTTACTGACTTTCACTGCTTTATTTAAACTATTTTATACATTGAATTGTTTGCCCACTCAACTTTAACATAATTAACCATTTTTATATCAGTTTAAGCTTGTCAGAATATGTTTCACTGATTTAAAAGATCCAGTCGAGAGGCAGACGCCATTTTGATTACATGTCATATAGTCCGTAGCAAGCTTTTTGATCTTCAAAATAGAATGTAATGATATTTGTACATTCAACATGGCAGTAAGATACTTGCTAGGTGCTCCTGCAGTTTTGTAGATATATAAGTGTGCTGTAACCTGTATGCTAAAAGGTGTAAGGAGTGAGCTGTAGTAGGTAGGGCTGTAACGATGCATCGAACTCAATTGATGGATTGCAATTGTTGAGTCTCTGATAGCAGTTAATCAAAGGTAGAAACGAAAAACTATCGATGCATTGATAATATGTGTGACTATCAATGGTTTACTGATTGACTTCTGTACTGATAAATGCACAGGGCAAAATATAGGAAGTTCATATACCACAAGTATCAGATTCGTTACTTTGTTATCTGCCCTTGTTAAATCTTAGGCAAACAGGGCATGCGACTCGGAGTTTGAAACTGTGATTAACAGTGTGTTTGAACTATTTACTTGATCTGAGTTTCAAGTTTCTTGTCAGTTATTAATAGACACTGAAACTACTTCAACTTGTCTTTATTTCATATCGACTATGCATTCATTTGGGAAATGACTTCAAATGAGACAATTCAAGGAGAAAGAAACTACTGCAATAGTATTGTAATAGTTGGTGACAACAGACTATCGCTATCGCAATAGTATATTGCAATAGACTATCACTATGACAATGTAGTTGTTTCCCCATTCATAGTAACCCCTAGTAATAGGTATGCAGGGTTTTATGTGACACGCAAATGCACGAGTGTAGAGAATGAACGCAGAAATACAATTCACTACTTCCAGAGGGATGCAAAATATTATTCATTGTACCCACAACACATCTATGACTTTGCTAAGTGTTTGGATGTTTCTTTACATGCATCATTTCATCCATCAGACTACATTCGTTGTTTTATTCTAGGCTCTGAAGAAATGATCAAAACGTACAGTTCTCTACACTGTTACTTTACGGGACACTCATATTGTCCCATCCTCGATAATCTCCAGGGTATATGTTACGATCACTCTCCACTATACCCTGGATACATCCACGGCTTGGCTCGATAATTCTATTACCTCCCTTTGCTGGCTCCGCATTCTCTCAGTAGCCAATCAGATAAGCCGCCGTTACATCTGAGCTTGCCAGTGTCAACAAAGATAGCGGTCGCAGTCGCGAAGGTTTGTACGCAGTGCCACTCAGATTTTTGAGGAAATAATACAGACAAATTGACAGATCTGAAACTTATATGTAAAAGAACTCCTTCTACCTCTTTCAGAGTACCTCTGCATCAATTGTGTTTACCAAGTTTAAACGGCTAGATAATTTAAGAAGTGAAAGTGAGTTGTGATTGGTTCGCTCAACTTCCCAGCGTAGACACCTGCTTTGATAAAAAGCCAGCCAAGGGAGGTAATAAAATCATCGGGCCAAGCCGTGGATGCATCCAGGGTATAGTGGAGAGTGATCGTAACATATACCCTGGAGATTATCGAGGATGATATTGTTCGCAAGGACCTTAGAAACTTATAACTGGGGGTCCTTCGTGAGTTGAGGTAAATCCCTGGTAGGGCTAAAGGTGTAAGCAGTGTGCAGTAGTCGGATGCAACAACTTCTCCATGAGTACATGCCCCTGCTAAATGGTACCTTTTCATTTCAGTGTTTGTGGAGGCCATTGCCATCTTCAAGGTCGACGTGACACCGTTTGGGCGGGGCTTCTTCTGCAATGACCAATCTCTGATGTATCCATACCATGACGACACGGTCACCATGGTGGATGCAGCTCTCATCGGCGTCCTCCCACAGGTGCTACTGGTATGTAATGTTTTAATACTTCAAAGGTTCATTTGGGGTGATTGGGGTAGCCTAGTGGTTAAAGCATTCATTCGTCACAGCGAAGACACGGGTTCGATTCCCCACATGGGTACAATGTGTGAAGCTCATTTCTGGTGTCCCCTGTCGTGATATTGCTGAAATATTGCTAAAAACGACGTAAAACTAAAAACTTGCTCACTCACTTACTCAAACATCATTTGACCACATTTACAACAAACTGACAGAAGTAATGAACTTGGATGTTTTTGTCCAAACTAATTGCTGTATTTTGTATCATGTATAATTGATGGAGATAATTATCATAGTTTTAACAAACAAACAGATATAGTAAATTACCTGTAAATATGAGCTGCTCACACGTTACAAATAGTCTATCAAAACCTTCACGGCCATGAGAGGCTGTTCATAGCGGAAATATTCAGTTAAAGGCAAGTGATTAACTGGATCAAGTTCTGACACCTTGTTCCCAATTAATATTGAAACTGTGATTAGGCTGTAGCTTATATATAACTAGATTTGTCTTTCAACCGATGTTCAAAGCAAAATACCTAATTTCCACACTTACAGAGAGTAACTCTTCTGTCTACATGTATATGTCCATGAAACTGTCTTTATTATATGTTTATAAGGTCTATCTTGGCATCTGGGTGGTCAAAAGGGGGTTGGCAGCATCATTCATCAAGCCAGTTATTTGTATCAGCAGTTGTTAGGGAAACCTTCCTTCCCTCCCTCCCTCACTCACTCACTCACTCACTCACCCACCCCCCTCCCTCACTCCGTAAACCCACCCACCCACTCAGCCACCCACTCACTCCCTCACACGTAAACCCACCCACCCACTCAGCCACCCACTCACTCACTCACTCACTCATTCCGCAAACCCACCCACTCCCTCATTCCGTAAACCCACCCACTCACCCACCCACTCACCCACTCACGCCAAACCCACCTTACTCCTCACTCAAAAACCCACCCACCACTCCCTCACTCCAAACCCACCCACCCACCCTCTCAAACCACCCACCCACTCTCACTCACTCACTCACTCCTCACTTGTTTCAGATTTTGCAATAGAAGCCTTAGGCGCCTACTTATTGACTGGCCTCAGTTGCAAAGCGGACCTTCTTCAACATGTATGGGAAGCTGCTCTTCGCTCAACTGGGCGTGGCATGTTTTGGTGGAGGGATCTGCTATCTGACAACGGAAGTGGTCAAACTGGTGGTTGGGCGGCTCCGACCACACTTCTTTGATGTTTGCAAACCTGATTTCTCCAAGATCAACTGCAGTACTGGCTACATCGTCGACTATGTTTGCCAAGGCACGAATGATGCACTGATAATTGATGCAAAGTAAGCAGAGGCCCTTATGATTTCTATGTTTGATTACAGATGAACATATGAGGCCCGACAATATTACCGCTCTTTTTTCAGGTAAATAATGGCCGCTCCAGGGAATTACGTGTTGGTTTTCTTAGTAAGATTGATTGGAGCATTGATGATATTTTCAAGTTCGTGAAGTGTTGTTCCTAATCATGCCACATAATAAGATGGCAGGGATAGAATGGCATTTTTTTCGAAGGGTACCATCAGGCACCGGACCGATAATTCACGGTGCCTTTGTGAAAGTAAGCGTGTTTAACATAAAAAATGATTACATCATTTCAAGTAATTGTTAAATGAATCAGACATCATGTAAACCTGTCAAATTGAGAGTTGGATTTTCTGAGCACTATCAAGACTGCCAGATTAGTTTAGCTTCATTTGTCCTGGACCACAAACCATGTTATCATTCAATACAGGATTACCTGTTATGTGACTGGCATTTATAATGGCCACGCCTATGTTAAGCTGTGAGATTAAGAGTGAACCTGATAAACAGTTTGATTGTGTGCAGAAATAGTCAAATTTTTGTCATTTTCCATTAAATGAATCATGTTGTGTATTATTTTTAAAACGTTAGTTGTGCCACCAGGGCTTACTGAAAATATTTCATTAGTGTCATTTCAATATTTACCCTGCCATGGCAACCAAATGATGCGCTATTTTGATCCCTGGATTGGGTTAAAATCGTGGTCAGACCCGCTGACTTGGTTGATAGATTTCATCGCATCCCAGTGGCTCAGTTTGATGCTCATGATTTCAATCACTGTTTTGTCTTGCTTTATTAGATATCAAACGAAAACAAACAAACAAACATCATAACAGTACTGAATATTTTTTCGTTTGTTTCCAGAAAATCTTTTCCGTCCGGACATTCATCATTCATTGCTTTTGCAATGACATATATTATCGTGAGTATATATCATCTGATGTGAAATGCTAAAGTTCTGTATTGTTATTATCTCCGGCAATTCATGCTGTTAAACTGAGCAGAAACAGTGCTGTTTAGTACATCCATGTAAACTTGTGAGTAAATATTTCATTGTGCCGCATCAGCAGTTTCGCATTCTTTTGCTGTGAGGGAGTGAGGTTACATCACCTGAGCAATATTCAGTTAAAATACTCATACAAGCATCACAAAGGCAGAACCACCCCTGAATATCCGGGGTAGAATTGGTCTTCAGCAACCCATGCTTGTCGTAAGAGGCGACTAATGAGATTAGGTGGTCAGTCTCGCTGACTTGGTTGACACATGTCATCGGTTCCCAATTGCGTAGATCGATGCTCATGAACAATTATTTACAAACCGCCGCCATATTGCTGGAATATTGCTGCGTTAAACAGCAAACCAACCGACCAGCGTAAGAGGCTAAAAAACGGGATTGGATTATTAGACTCACTGACTTGGTTGACACATGTCGTCGTATCCCAATTGCATAGATCGATGCTCATGATGTTGATCACTGATTTTCCATTGCCTGGTCAAAATTATAGTTTCTCTGAGCAGGAGTGGAATAATAAATTAGCTATATCATTTCCCGAAGAAGTGCATACATGCATGGGTACGAAGAGGCAACTGATGGGATTGGGTTGTGAGGCTTGCTGACTTGGTTGAGACATATCGTATCCCAATTGTGTAGATCAATGTTCATGATGTTGATCACTGGATTGTCTGGTCCATAGTTGATTATTTACAGACCGCCGCCATATAGCTGGAATATTGCTGAGTTAGGAGTTAAACAACAAACACAAAATCCATGAATGTGTGTGTGTGTCCATGTGTGTTTGTGTTCATCAAGTGCAGCAATATAGCTGAAATAATGCAAAATGTTTTTGAACCAACTTCACCCAATCATTCAGTGGTTTCGTTTTAGAAAATGGGACCTGTGTATCCAACATTATGGGTGAACAAGAGAACCAGAACCAGAAATTCCAGGGTTGTGTTGACCTCTGCCAGACTATTGGAATGGTTTGCTGTACTTTTTGTTGTCTGCTCTTCAGATGTATGTTCAACTTCGTCTGGGGAGAAAGAACTGTCGTCTGCTGCGAGCTCTCCTCCAGTTTGGGGCTGCTCTAGGTGGTGTATATGTCTGTGTGTCCAGGATATCGGACTATAAGCACCACTGGAGCGATGTGCTAGGTGGTGCTGTTCTAGGGATCTTAACAAGTGCTTTAACGGTAAGAGAAGTCTTTCAAACTTAACATACCTAACACTACATTTTTCCCTCTTTCGATACCTCAGAGGAAACGTTCTCACCTGTTTTGGGGCGTGGGGTAGTTTAGTGGTTAAAGTGTTTGCTCGTCACGCCGAGGACCCAGGTTCGATTCCCCACATGAGTACATTGTGTGAGATCCATTTCTGGTGTCCCTCGCCGTGATATTGCTGGAATATTGCTAAAAGCAGTGTGAAACTAAACTCACTCTCTTACACACCTGTTTCGATGTTATATATACTCCACCCAAACACATTCCAGCTGTTGTCATGGTGACCATTGTCCTGCACAGCAAGCACTTGGATCACATGCTTTGTCAATTATTCTTTTGCTAATCATCCTTGGGTGGAGACCATATTGACATTTGGAGGGAATTGATTTTCTGATTTTTCATATCGTGTGTCTATACACATATACCTTGTTATGTATAATGTCAGAATGGTTTCCCCAAGGCTGATCAGAAAGGACAGAGCAGGAATGTGTTTGGGTGAGGCGTTCTCTGAAGCTGGAAACAGGTCAGAAAGAGAATTCAGGGACTGAAAGATGGTGAAATGCATAGCATAAAGTAGGACAAGTATTAATAATGAAGAATATATGGAGGTAATTTTCAAAATGTTACGTATGAAGTTATCAGCCTCTCAGCCTCTTAAAAGTTTTAATCTTTCAATCATGGTCCAAAATGAATCTGAAAAGTGGAAACTGGAATTTGTGGGCATTGTATGAGGGGGGGCCAATTTTGAATTTGAAATTATAGACGCATATTATTGGGGACTCATGGTTTGAATTGATTCCAATCAACTGATGAGGTGACCAAAGGTCTCCCAACTCGTTCCTCATTCTAAGCATGTGGCATGCCACATAGCTCCTCTTGACATCCAAATTAAGAACACTTTAGTCATATCAGCATACATGGATGGCACAAGTATATTAAGCTGGGACTTTTGCATAAGCTCAGGGGTAAATCCTTCATGTTTGTAAACTCTTTTATTTCAACAAAAAAAAGGAAAAAAAAGATTTCAGTACCGAAATATCAGCATCTGCATAAGAGATAGATATTTAATGGCATCAACTGTACTGCACCATTCTTTATCCAGTGTGCTTAAAGGGGAGTCAGCTTAATGTACTTGGTGGTCAGACTTTGTGTCTCATGATATTGTATAGGTCAGTAACTGGATTGTCTAGTCCAGGTGAACCTATAACAGTCATATATCTGGAATGACTTACCCAATGGGGATCATTGCTTATAATATCTGTCTCTTAATTGTCTGGTCTATTCTTGATTATGTAAAGACAGCCATTACCTAGCTGGAATAGAGGGACGGGAACAGAAACAAACAAACAACAATGTGTAAGGGACACCTCTATACAGTATGAAATTGAATGCTCAAAATTCAATATAAAATATTGACATTACCAAAGCTTGTGAGCTAGTGTAGGTATTCCAAGAAGAACTAACTTACTGAATATGTTTAGGAATGGGTAAGTTTGTGGTTCAACTGATTTACACCTGTTTGTTCACAGGTTCTCTACGTAAATGATGTAAAAAGAATTAACATGGTGGAAGAAACATCTGATGAGAAAAGTCCAGTTCCTCTGACAAAATTTGAAAAGACGGAACCAGCACAGTATGAGGATGTCAGAAGCTCACGACGAACAGTGGTGTAAGGGAGGTAACCCACACTGGGACAAAAGGGAGACAATCCACACATAAAGCAGTGAACAAAAGTATTGAACCAAGTACTGTTTGATCAGTGAGTCTTCAAACATTGATCTATGACAAAACTGAAAAGATATCATCCCTCATTTGTGAGTTTGTTGAGTGTCACAGGCATATTCAGGGAAAGGTCAAATGACTTTGAATTCCAATGTGTCTGTTGACGTGTACCTGTTTTGTATTTTTGATTATTTTTTGCTCATGCAACAAACAATCCAGCTCAAGTGAACATTCCGACTCTTGTATGTATACTGGTTTTTCAGCATTGTATGTTTATTGTGTATTACTTTCATCAGTTTCATACCCCAGCAGGGAGGACGACCCCTGTCTGATAATGTGATGGGGCTATGCAGTACACTCTGCAGACACATCTTTTATGTAATTAGTAAATGAAGAAACTTACCAAAGTTTGAGAAACTGATTTGAGATATAAATATTAAAAGAAAATCATGTTGAACACAATACCCTCTTTTTATTCTTTATTCCCACCATTAGCCAAATCATTACTGTGTTTCTTCAAGTGCATAGCTACATATGCCAGTGTTTAAAACTCCCAAAATTCCAAGCCAGACAGCCGAACTATTAACTTTAAAAAATTACCAGTCCGAATACAAACTTGCCTGTCCGGTTTTCAACAAAGAAAAAAAAAAATCAGGTTTCTGAATACTTTACTGTTTGTAGGCATCGCAATGAACAACATAGCACTAACAGGCAATGCACCGAGTTTAGGTAAACTGAAAGTACATGTATTGTGATTGGTTATTGTAAAATGAACTGTCCGATCGTAATAGTTTAACATAATTATCATAATTTACTCGCGATTGGTTTCACACGTGAAGCAGGTTCGAGGCCGTGACAAGAGAACCTGTCTGATATTATAAAATATTTACTGTTAGGGGTTAAAACATCTACCAGACCACCGGACAGGCTACATTTGAAATTTGACCGTCCGAGATGAAAATAGACTGTTCTGGACGGTCGGGGAGGCGGGAATTTTAAACGTGCATATGCATTTCAGATGTAAGATGATGAGATTCTGTATATCCTGATCTCAAACCGTTTCCTGTTGCTTGTTTCATCACTTTATTTTCTTACCAGCAGGGTGCTGATAATTAACCAGAATTTTGTTGAAAGGAAACTGCCAAATGAGAGATGCAGACTGTCATTTTTATATACAGCAAGTATGCCTCTCAGAGAAGTGTTGATAACATCGTTCCTGTATCACACTTTCCTTAGTAATTACAGTGTGTTTGTTAATGAGAAATAATTCTGTTTGTGTAATAATTTCTTCTACACAGTGACAGAATGATGTGGACCAAAGAATATGGTGGTGTGAGTTTTCCATATTCTTTGACAACATATTTTTAATATTGGCCTATAGTCCATGGATTTTTTAGTTTGTCTGTATCAGTCCATTGCTGTGAAGTTGTTAATACAAACATACAGTCACCTGCAGTCATCTGGTTCATAATGAATGAGTTTTTAGTGACATCCCTGGTATGAGTAATGGAGTGATGTCCCTTTGTATGTGCAAGCTCCTTCTCAGGGCATGCCAACTTTGTTACAGTGTGGATAGTTTTGGAAAGGCTGTCGCTGTTAGGAGCTTTGTGTATGGGCATTTACTAACAGAAAATGCTTGGACAGCTGTTTTGCATGAACTTTTTCACTGTATGCCAATTTTGGTACTTTTTGTTTTCATGATGGTCATCTCGTGGATCTATGTTTGTATACTGTCCAAATTCATAGCTTCATTCATAACAATCTCATATGCAAATACTGGTATATCTTTATGCAATGAAACTACCGATATTTACCAAACAGTGATATAACATCGTCTAAGTTCACATAACAGTGTTTCGCACCACTGCTGGATCAAAAATAGACTTAGTTTTCTTTCTGTGCTAGTCTAGCAGTGTAAGCATTTGCTTGTCATACTGAAGACCTGGGTTTGATCTTCCCAGAATGGGTACAATGTGTGAAGCCCATTTCTTGCGTCCCCAGCATGATATTGCTGGAATATTGTTAGAAGAGGCATAAAACCCTACTCACTCACCCACTTATTTTGTATTTTTTTAACATATATTTTCAAACCCATTTATCTGCATACCTCTTTCACAGTGTTAAGCAACAGAACTCTTTAATGCAAATGCAGGTTGTAAATATTACAGGTGAGTGGAACCAAGGTTAAATGACATTATCCAAATGGAAATGATTACAAAATCAACCATCACAGCATCAATGTTAGGTTTTAGTTGAAGGTCTCACCAGTGGTGTCTCTGTCGGTTCAAATCTTGTCCATGTAAACTGTAGTTGCCATGGTAACAGTTTTGATAAATAAACCCACATAAACTCACATTGAAACCTGAACCTTCAGCTACACATTGAAGAAATTAACATGCAGCAAAAATTCAATATGTTTTAACAACCAACCAAATAAATATCTTCTCCTCAAAACCAAAATTCAATTTAAGGTAGGTGAACTGCAGACCACAGTGGTGAGAAACATGATTGTATATTCTTTGTATGTTCAGTATATTCATTGTATATTCAGTATATTCTTTGTGGCCTAACAATAGTGTGTGAATGGTCATTGTATGTACTTTCAGAATCTGTTATGAGATTATGATTTGTACTAAGTCATGTCAGGTATTGTATTTATACCTGAACCCATTTCTGTGATATGTGGAAGAAATGTGAATAATATTTGTTTTCAGTACTATTGCAAATTCTCACAGTATGGATCTTGTACTATCACAAAGTGGTGTATATGAAGACATTAGTCTTAATCCGTATTTTGTTTCAAACCGTTTGATTATCACTGTGTTCTATTTTCTCTGTATTACCCGTGAACTGTACTGCATGACCTTGACTGCAATAGGATGTGTACTCATATGATGCTCTCGTGTGTGAAGCCTCACATCCAAACTGAAAATAAACCGTGCACCGTGGGTCCTACCCATTGTGATTTTATGGTCATGGATGTAAAGCAAACAGATGTTTATATATAATATATGCACCTTACCCCTTGGGATATCTGATGGGTCATGGATGTAAAAGCAAACAGTAAATCTTTATACATAATATATGCACCTTACACCCTACAGAAAGTAAATTTACCCTTACATGAAAGTAAATGGGTCCCATAAATGTGGCACCCTTTCAAAAGTGATGCCCTTACATGAGAGTAAATGTGACACCCCTTACATGAAAGTAAATGTGATGCCCTTACATGAAAGTAAATGTGATGCCTTTACATGAAAGTAAATGTGACACCCTTACATGAAAGTAAATGTGATGCCCTTACATGAAAGTAAATGTGATGCCCTTACATGAAAGTAAATGTGACACCCTTACATGAAAGTAAATGTGACACCCTTACATGTAGTAAATGTTGCACCCTTACATAAGGTAAATGCAACACCCTTACGTGAAAGTAAATGTGGCACCCTTACATGAAAGTCAATGTAACACCATTACATGAGGTGAGGTGAAATTGGATTTAACGTCGTGCTTGAGAATATTTCGCTCATGACGACGTGCATTCATGTCTGTGTGTGTATGTATGGCACCCTTACATGAAAGTAAATGTGATGCCCTTACATAAGGTAAACGTGACACCTTTACATAAAATAATTGTGACACCCTTACATAAAGTAAATCGAGACAATGTTACATACAGTAAGTTTAGGTATCCTCACATGATTAAAATGGACATGCATGCACTGGATTCTCACTGTGAATTGTTGATACTCAACAGTGAATTAACATACTCTTGACACAGTTTTCCCCATTTTTGAGCACAATTGTGATGTAGTTTGCTTTTATTCGGTCATGGTATTATTTTAATACCATTTATGAATATGAACCATTGTTATTCAGAATAAGTGAACAATAAATGAATTGTTTCTTGTCTTGATGTTGAAATATGAGACATCTCCTGCAGTTGCTGCCTTGTGACTTTGGTAAGGCAGTTGTATGGTTTTGTCTGTACTACACCAGATTGTTTTCGGTTTGAAAATAAAATCTTTTTGTACTAAAATGGTTTCTGGTGTTTGTTTCTCAGCATGACCTCATCACTAGTATGACACCAAGCAATGCTGTACAGCCCAACTACAGTATATAGTGTTGTGATCAGCCGTTCGGATCCATTTTAGACTTAGTGCTGTGTGTGGACTAGACTCAGTTATGTACACTCGTAGGAGGCAAGCAATATTCAAGTGACTCAGCTTGAAATTAATCGGGAAGATACCAGACAAATTAAATCATACAGTTTTTTCGAGATATAAGACTAAAGTTAACAATAAGCATGTATCTCTAATTTGATATGAAATTTTGGATCAACTACAATTGCCTCACGACTGTCATTAGTCTCAAACCCATTTTCTCGCCATATCAAATTAATTCTTTCTCTGAGCAGGACTAGAATAATATTTTCACGATATCCTTTACTGAAGAAATTTGCTCATGCGTGTATGCGAAGAGGCAACTGACGGGATCGGGTTGGCAGGCTTGCTGACTTTATTGACATATCGTATCCAATTATTGCGTAGATCGATCGTCATGATGTTTATCACTGGATTTTCTGGTTCAGGGTCGATATTTACAGACCGCCACCATGGAATATTGCTGAATGCAGGGATAAACAAGCAACAAGCAAACACACCATAACACACATGCAATGTGACTTACTCAAACTACTGTGTCCCCTACAGTTATAACAGTTTCACCCAGCTCCTACCTATCTATATATGTACACAATTGTGTACTAATTTGATGATGCAACTGCCAACACTTGACACTCTTCTGTCTGTACATGCGACTTGAAATGGTCTGAGTTTTGAATTAGGTTAGAGTTTTTACTAAAATTTGAGAAAACGCAGGAAAATGCATTTCCCAGAATGAACTGAAATCGATCTCAAACTCATACATAGTAGACAATATGAGTTTGGTGGATAGATTACTTAAGTTGTTTGGGCTTTTTTATTTTAAAAATGCAGTTGAGTTAAACATTCAGCTGTTTCAAATTGTCACACTCAGTTTGAAATTTGAGTAAAAACTTAAGTTTGTTTCGAGAAATCGGGGCCAGGTACAGAGGGTCAGAATGCAAGCTCACCTTTCACCTTTCAACGTTACCACTTGTACGCTTTAAGGGCTTTGTACGCTGGTGACAACTGCCACTGGTGCCTCTCTCCAGTCTCGGGTAACTTAACGTAACTATGAAGAATGTTGAGCATACATTCATACCAGTTTGTCCCTTTTCTGAGAACAGTTGAGTATCTTGTGATGAAGTTCGATATTATTCAGTCATAGTATTATTTTGATAATAGCATATATGAATGTTTATCTTATGCAAAATAAGTGAACAATAAATGAATTGAGGTTCTTAAGAGGCATATAGAAGTTGGTATTCAAGTTTAAGACAAACTGTTATGGATGTCAACTTCTTCTGTATTGTATACACAACGTTTCTGGGCTTTTCCTTGCCCCTTCGTCAGGTGAATGCTACGTAACAAATATACAGGATATATATACTAGTAATGTACATGAAGCCAGATTGAATTTAAGCATGTATATACAATAAACAGGGGATTATGAGTTGAAAGTGATGGAAGCCAATAGAGTCTAATTGATGTACAGGGGGTGGAGGATGTTTTAACAATCGATTAAGTGGGTGATTACAGTCTAATTGCACAAAAGCGGGGATGACATGCATGCTGTTACAATAGATTAAGAGGTGATGATGAAGCCATTAGAGTCTAATTAATTTACCAGGCATTGGGTAGATAAACGCCTTGATCTCTGTTCATCGGTGGCGCTAATCTTTTAATGCTGATTGACTCTGAAATCTTGCGTCGTCGCCAATCATGGATGTTCGATGCTATGATGGTTGTTGCTTGCCAGCCAGTGGTGGGTGATGGATTGTTCACAATGTGTTCAGAAAGGGTTGACTTGAGATCTGATTTCAGCACCAAGGTTTTATGCTCTTTGAGCCTAACAGTCACACGTTAGCTTAGGGTTGTGAGTGGTGCTTGGTGAAGAACATGTTCCAATTGCCTTCAGGATGGTTTTTGAAGTAAGGCCAGAAATGCTTGGAAAAAGGTTTCTGGCTTCAATATCAATATGATGAATTTGACACAAGATATAAGCACATGTATATATGATACATGTACGACTGTACCAAGTTGGATATTAAAGCTCATATGAAAAATGCATTTGAGGGGTGACTTCAGAGGAGGAAATATTCTAAGTACAAACTGTAGTTTTGAAATACAGACTACAATAATTCTTATAGCCTCAACTAATTAAGTTACATAAATGATTGTAACAAGTTTTTTTTTTAACATCTATATATTGTGAAAAAGATAGTTATATTCAAAATAATTACGTAAAAAAAGTCTTAATTCAAATCGCATAGATACTCTTGTTCACTCATAGAAGTTTCTCTTCGTGTATGAGCATTGAACTGGCAACATTAATTAATTTCAAAATTATACCAGTATTTCATACTGGAGAAACAAAGGGGGAAACCTCTCGTCAGCTATGACAGGGTCTACTATAGAATGTGTAAAGTCCTTAATTTGACATATAGTCAGGTTTACAAAGTTGTAAACAAATCAGTTACCTCAGGGGTCGTGTCAAAATCAAAACCAGATAGGAAACACAAACTGGATAGCTTTGATAAGGGTGTCATACGCCGTGCAGTTTATAAACTTTATGAACGCAAAATCCCACCGACGTGTGCTAAAATACAAGATGAGATCAAAGATACAATAAATGTCTCGAAAACAACACTTATTGTAGCTCTGGTAGAAATGGGGTTGATGATGACAGGGCTGTGTTAAGAGAAAAGTACTCAATCCTGTCCATGCGATCAGCTTATCTCATAACAGTTGAAGAATACCGCAATTTGGGGTTTCAAATTTTATACCTTGATGAAACTTGGTGTGATAAAAATCACTCAACCAATCGGATGTGGCTTCCTTCAGATTGTTCTAAGGCGCCAGCGTTACCATCAGGCACTTGATATTTTGAGACGGTCCCTGACATGCACTGCCCGCGCGTTACATAACGCTGTCACCCTGTCTGCCTGCCAGGTGGGTCACAGTATAGTTTGTTTCTTTGAAGTGTTTCTACCATGGACTTTTTTCTAAGTTTTTCGATATTTTACGAGTAATCATTATGATTACATCGTGATTACTCATATGCCATATTAGGTCGATGTGGTATGAATGATTATACTGAGTTTTGAATCTGAAATATCAACCATTATCAAATAATTCCCAAAGAGCATTTTCCAAGCATTTCTGGCCTTACTTTAGTATTTTGTCAGACTCAGACCCCCCATCATGCCATGCACACCAGCTGTCTCCAAGATCCTGCATCAGTCCAGCAGAAGACTCCTCAAGGTACAAGTTCAACAACTCAGACGCAAGAAAGCCTTAAGTTCCTTGAAGACAACTTTCAAAAATCCTCCATTCAACCAGAATCCACGATCCGCCCAGATCCCCTGCAGAGAGTCCAGTCCCTGACTTCCACCAACAACACCTCTCTTCATGAGTCCCGTCAGTCAATGAAATTCGACAACCTCAAGCAACCAGCAGCAGCCTAATCCACCACATCCAACACCACCTCTACCCCCAGCCGTGAAGCCTACCATCAGAAAACTGTCGTCAACCTCAGCTCTAAGTCCATGACACCAACTCAGACCTCCCTCCTGTCTAAAGGTCTGAAATATGTACCAACCTGCAGCACCATTTAATCAGATGAATTCCTCACCGGCATAGAGAGTGACCTACTGGCTTCGAATGGCAACATCGACTATCTCCGACACCAGATAGCTGAACTCATCAAGAAAACCCCCAAACAACACAGAAACCTCTCATCAGATGAACTGAGGTGATGAGGTGACATTGGGTTTAACGTCGTGCTTGAGAATATTTCTGAAGGCTATAGCAGAACTACGCAGAGCTGACAACATCACCATCAACCGAAGCAGTCAAGGACAAAGCCGCTGTTGTCATGGACACCACAGACTTCCTCAACCTTGTCAACACCACCCTGAGCGCGACCTCCACCTACAAGATCCTGCACAAAGACCCAACGGTCAAGTTGGAACGTCAGCATAAGAAGAGATTGTAAAACTCCATTGAAGGAATATAGTTAAATTAAACACGCCGTGTGTACGCACGCATGCTGGTATTTTCAATTAATTAAATTTCATTAAAATGGTAATTAAATCTTTAATGGAAAAGTTAAAAGCACCACGCCTACACTACCCTCCCAACAGACTCCCGTCACAACACGCCCGTGTTCCTGCTGGCCCGCATATATGTCATCAGTTATGTCTTTAATGTAAATCAAAATCTATGTCATGAAATTACAAGTTAATATCTCCAAACCCTATATCCCTCAGCCTCAAATTTACGCAGTTCTTCAAAAATAGATAAAAAATCTGTCTGATGTAGTTGTGGTGGAGTCCCATGTAGGGATATTCAATACACTGAGTCGTTAGTGGAGGACATGCTGACGTGGGTCTCTTAATGATGAAGTAGACTGCCGAGGACCAATCAGACAGCATCATTTACAGCATGAAGCCAGTTTTCATGCCTCCGAAGATGCCCTTCTTGTTCTGGTCCTGTTTGGCTGAAACAACATGGTTGAAGGTAAATCACCTTCATTCTTCAAAGGTCTAAGACATCGATACTCTCTTAGTTGGAACAACACGAATTTCGTTAACTCGATTCCCGTCTTCAGCTATCTGCAAGCGCGCATAGCATGCTGCGCATACCACTTGTGGAACCGATCACGGGAACCAGTTACTGATGATGGTGACACTGTCTGCTGTAGTTGTGGTGGAGTCCCATGTAGTGGTGGGATGGGTTGGTGGTGTCTCCGTTACTGATGATGGTGACACTGTCTGATGTAGTTGTGGTGGAGTCCCATGTAGGGATGGGTTGGTGGTGTCCCAGTTACTGATGATGGTGACACTGTCTGATGTAGTTGTGGTGGAGTCCCATGTAGTGGTGGGATGGGTTGGTG